ATCATTCCTTAGACTCATAGAAAAGCCAATTTCATCCTTTAATGAGGGTATGCATCGATGCACTACTGATGCATCGGTGCATAAAATGCATTCGATGTTGTATTATTACTGGGATGCATCGATGCGTGACTTATGCATCGATGCACTAATTGCATTCGATGTTTATATTTTAAAAGAGTGCATCGATGCATTACCAATGCATCGATACACCTTCAAATAATTTCTGGGTTTTAAACTTTATGCATCGATGCACTATGAATATGCATCGATGCACTCTGCCCAGAATCCTCTTTTATGCCCGAAAATCCACTCTTTTCAGCTTAATACTTCATATATCATCCTCTTTCTTATTTCCTAACTTGCATACTCTTACTTAAGCTAATTATTATCCATTAAATATTTCTAAAACTTAGAAATCTAATTCTCCATGTAGAATTTAAGAATCTAACCCAAATTCCAACATGTTCTAATTTGAATTCTAACACCTCATACTTCTTAGTTAGCTTATTGACAAGTCAAAAATCTTATTCAAACTTCAAAAACTCATCCATATCAAAATTTCATCTAAAAACTCATTTTCCAAATCTATCTCTAAAACATTTATCTTGTTGTCTTAATGTCATATAAGCTTTCCTTTAGCTTATATACATCCAAACTTCAATTTCCAAGCTAAACATCAAAGAAACTACCAAGGTTCAAATTCTTACCTTTACTTGCAAGCTTCACGTTTGGAGAAGGAAGAGAAGAAGATAAGGAAGAAGGAAGAAGAAATGAGAGGATTCTGGAATACTAATGCCCCACGTGGGTTATAATATAACCCCATAACATTTTTTAATTATAATTTTTCCTTACAAATGACCATTTGGTCCTTACATTCATTTCATATTTACTAACCATTCTTTTTAAACTATATAATTATTATACTTTAATCACCAAATGTTGAAACTTTGCAAATTAATCACTAACCCGGCATGGAGGATATTACAGGTATATCATAAACCTATACCTCAAACCATCAACTGTAGCTCGAATTTTTCTTTCTATTTTATGCTTCATTTCTATAAATGTGATGTCTCTTTTGAACATCATATTTATTGGTTTTTCAGACTGAAAAACTACTCCGACTTCATTTTCCATAATCTGTCCATTATAATGGACAATCGTGAAAATTTTTTTGCTCATTTTCTCTACAAATAAATAAATAAATAAATTTAGATTAAAAAATTAGATAAGATACTTTCATAAATCATTAAATAATTAAATATAATATAATATACTATTATATTATATTAACGATCAAATAAATTTTGTTATTTAACTTGATTGATTGATTACTAATATTACTAATAATGATTTTGTAACACCCTTAACTCATATCCCACCCGAATACAAGTCTGAGGTGTCACATTGACTTTTCAAACTTTGACTCTTAAAGAAAATCCCGGGAATTTTTAAAACTTTCATTAAAACAAAATACTTTAATTTACATAAGACCATAAAATACAAAATCGATCAGAGTATTTGTAATTAACACTTATTACATGCCAACACTCTATACATAACCAAGTACATACTTTGTCAATTACTTCTGAACTGATCTCTTAGTAGTATTGTTGTCCGTGCTACTTCTATTTCCACCTTTCCTGATTCTTGGTACCTACGTGTAAATCACTTACACGCTAAGTCATAGACTTAGTGAGGCAATAACATATATAATCATATATAATGAATATGCAACAATAAACTTATGAATGTTCATACTTACCATTGTATCATGACATCTCAAGATACATGTATCTATCACACGATAACATATATAATCATATAATGCACATACGAAACTTACCTTCTTGGATCACTTTCACTTTAAATTGGTATTTCAATTGCATTGCCCATGTATATTATTGAGAATAGAGGTATGTGAGTGCATTGAGGTTGTGCACTAATGCTGTCACCACAGCTCGTATCAATTCCCTCATGGGGCACTGAACCTTAGTTCAGTATTCGTCCCGTATGACTATTATCTATGTCCCGTAGGACCCCTACATCCCGAAGGACTATGTCCCGAAGGACTTCTCCTTAAGAACCACATACATAATATAATGGCTCCAATCAGTGTACTGAAGTACCACATATAGGTTCCACATAATTATATATATGTCCCGAAGGACCACGTAGAACCCTCGACTCTTGGCATGCCAATTACACCTATAGTTCTCATATCGTATACTATGGGCATTATTCTTATATTTCATATGTTCATGTACTCATGTCATTTCTCTTGTGATCATGTAGCTCATGTCACTTCATATCATGTTCTCATATCACATGTCATATCACATATCATATCACATGAACATATATATGTCTTATGCATGTATCACAACAATTATCATGTATGCATGTTCACAACTATATATTATAAAAATCAACATAGGGATTAGACTTATCACAAGTCTTATTCCATTATAATATACATATAGTATGCACTTACCTTAGCTTTGCTTTGATTCGATTCTATTTTAATCACCAAAATCTGAAACTTTCCAATTTAGTCACTAACTCGGTATTGAGAATGTTACAGATTTAATAATTATTATTAATCTAATGATTTGATATTTAATGATTTAATAATAATATGATTTAGTAATGATTACTAATAATTATTTATTATAAATATTTAATGATTTATATTTGATATTAATTATTTAGTAATGATTACTAATAATAATGATTAGTTTGATAACATTTTTTAATTTTTAAAATATCAAACAAATTTGTTAGGCAAAACTATCGAGATGATATTCTCGAAAGAATTATTTCACTAGATAATGAGTTGGCTGGATTATTTCATTCAATTAATTTTTACTCCTTACTAATTTACACATATAATATAAATTAAACAAAATATTTTTTTTAAAACAACACTAAATATTTTTAAACACAATATTTTTTTAAACGGAAATTATCTCACACAAATTAGTTTATATAATCTAATAATAAACTTACTAACTAACTAATTTACACATACACAACAACAAAAAATGAACAAAAACAAAATGGACAACAAAAAATAATAAATTACCCGCGTATTTATGTCTTCTTCCTTTCATTTCATTTCATTTCTTTTCCTTTCTTGTTTCTTTCTTCGAATCAATCTGTATGTAGGCAAATGTTGTGGAATAATGCCATGTATGTGTAAACAAAATATTTCTTTAAACAACAATAAATTAAACAAATTAATTTTATATAATCTAATATATTATAATATAACTTAAACTAATAAACTATTTCTTTATTATAATATAACTTAGTTAAGATAACAAACTAATTAAGCACTAATTAATTTTTTTTATAATATAACTTCAACTTCAACAAACAACCTAATATACGTTTAAAGACACTAACAAATTAATTAATTACTTTTTTATATTTAATAACTTAAACTAAGAAACTAATTGACTAATTTTTTATATAATATAATATATAACTTAAACTAACAAACTAATATAATATAACTTAAACTAACAAACTAATAATTTATACTAACAAACTAATTAACTAAATTTTAGTTTTACCCTAAACTAACAAACTAATAATTTCATATAATAAACTAAATTAAACAATAAAAAATTACCTCACGAACGCTGTTTAAGCCTTTATCTTCTTTTCTTCTTCTTCATTTTCTTTCTCTCGGCAAAGTTTCTGCTTCTGCTTCTGCTTCTGCTTCTGCTTCTACCCTAAACCCCCATATCCTTTATATAAAGCAAATGAGCGTTGGAGAACGTCATTAAATTTGATTGCTGAAGCAAATAATATTGAGCGTTGAATCGTGTTACTATTGAGCGTTGAAAGGCTGCAATTCAACAACAATATTTGCTACATTTAGAAGCTAAATTAACGCTGCAATAATGCAACTATGGATGCAGGAATCTCCCAGCTATGGATGCAACGCGTGCATAAGGGAGCAGAGGTTTAAAGCTTGGTCGTCGGGCAGGAATCTCCCAGCTATGGCATGCAGGGCATGCAACAGAGGGTTAAAGCTTGGTCGTCGGGCGTGCATGACGACCTACCATGTCGTCGGGACTGCATGGCGACATACACTAAGAAAATTCGATGTGTGCATGCCCATGCACAGCTCCCACATGCATGCATAGCTCGCCCTGAGTGGCGACCTCTCCTTGGTCGCCCTGAGTGCATGACGACCTCTTTGATCGCTCGAATATCATGGCGACCTATGGTTTCACTGTAGAATTCACCTTATCTTAGTAAATAATATGTCTAAAACATTATTTCGTGAAATAAAAAGTTTGAAACTTTATCTCGTGAAATTTGTCAGATAAATAATATAATGCGGTTCCTATTTAGCAGCGACATAATCATCATTTCATTTGTCAAAAGCATGGAACTCAATAATTATAACTTTAAATAAATATAAATAAAGAGAAACCGACTTGACTTGCATTAAAGACAGCTGCCGAGCTACTTCTGTGCAGGTGTTGAACTATAATACGGCATTCCCATAGCTCCAAAGGAATTTACCCCCATTCATTTTCCCACTAAAATAATTGCAAATAATGTAATATATTATTAATAAATAAAATAATAATAGATCATTATAAAAGATATAAAATAAATTTATCTTTATATATAATAATATATCAAATTAATAAAATTTATCACATATGTTAAGCGTTCATTATTAAATAATTAAGAGTCTTTGAATAAATAATGTTTTGTATTCATTCTAGATTTATGGAAATATATATGTATTTTTGTAAAAGAAATTGATATATGTATATTGAGTTTGTAAATTTTTGTACTATATCGAATTTGATAATAAAGAATGATAGGATGTTAATTGAACTGCGCACATAAACCACCACCATCAATTTGTGGGGAAAGAACAGATTGGGGTCCGCAGCAAAAAGAAAGCAACAAGCATTTGGTTTGGGGGCATGTGATTATTAATAAGAACCAATAAATCGTTGGTACTGTCAAAAAAACTCTATTCGGAGAGACAATGAGATAAAGAGAGGATCTTATCTTTGGTGAAAAAGGAGAGCGGAAAACACTACAGATAATATTTTTTTCTCCTGCTTATATATTTTATTTCCGTTGTTCTCCGCTGCCAATCTGCCATATCAGGAGAAATATAACACACACACTACAACGTTGGAGAGCTTTGTACCTTTTCATGGATTTTGATTTTAAAATATTTTAGTTTTGCTTCTAGGGTTTTCTCCTCACCTCAGCACCAACAAACATAACGCTAGCTTTTCTGGAAACAATTCTATAATTTTAATACCTTCAATTCCGTGAGTTCTTTCTTTCTGTCTCTCTCTCTCTCTTTAATCTTTCTACCAATTTGTTTGTTCTCTTATTGTTCTTGATTTGCTTGATTTATTATTATTTATATACAGCTTAGTGTTAAAGAGACAGGATGAATCACTGTGTTCCAGATTCCGAAATGGAAGACGATGATTCAATCCCTTCTTCTAGTTTAACTCGCTCTAAAAAGCCTTCCATGTAAGCTGAATCAACTTTTTTTTTAATCTGATTGTTGACGTTGTTTCTCCGAATTTTGAATTGACAAACTGATTGAATTGTGAAACAGACCGGAGGATGAAGTTATGGAGCTGTTGTGGCAAAACGGTCAAGTTGTTATGCAGAGTCAAAATCAAAGATTTACAAAAATATCGCCGCCCTTCAAATTCCAGGATTCCGACCAATCAGCTGCCAGAGAGATCCGGTCTTCGTCATATCACCATCGTCATCAACAACAGCAGCAGCAATTGCTTACCGACAATCATCTCTTTATGCAAGAAGATGAAATGGCTTCATGGCTTCACTATCCTCTCGGCGACGCTAGCTTCGACCCCGATTTCTGTGCTGATCTCCTCTATCCCTCCTCCGCCGCCGCAGCCCCTTGCGTTACCTCAGCCACCGCTACAACCTCCCCCGCTCCACCTCCGCTCGGAACAGTTTCTCAATTTTCAGCTTCGGCTTCTAGGCCCCGGTACCGCCGTCGAGGAGGAATGAGTTGGAGTCATCGAGGATCCAGAACTTCGTTCACTTCTCCAGGAATAAAGCGGCGAGGGCGGAGCAATCTGCACCGTCGAATTTTAAAAGCGCAGTTAGAGAATCGACGGTCGTTGATTCCAGCGACACTCCGGCGATGGCTCCCGAATCAGGAGCCGTTTGGGCCATGCCGAGCAACACTGAGGCGGCATCTGGCGGGAACAACAACACTGACTGCACCAACATGAGCGTCGCCGCTGGAGCCAGCACTCAATCAGCTGGAGTCAGCGGGAGTGCCAGCAAAGACAACTTAGCCATGTTCGAGGTCACAGTGACATCATCCCCTGGCGGCTCAAGTTCTAGTGCCGACCCGACGGCTCAAAAGGCTGCACCGGCTGAGGACCGGAAGCGTAAAGGAAGAGAACTGGACGACGCCGAATGTCACCGCGAGGTTAGTCAGTTCAAAGGAGTTAAAAAAAAAATTCAATCTGTCTCGGCTAACGTGCGCGGCAGTTAAGGAGTGGTTTTTTCAATCCCGACTAAGGCATACTTAAGATCCAATTAGAATCGATATAAGAATTTACAAATTGCTCATCAAAAGACACGATAATAAAATTCGAATTTGACCTTACAAGCTTAAATTTTTAACTCCTAATCACTTGTGCCAACCCTCATTGACAATGATAAAAGAAAAACATTGATTACTATTATCAATATAAAACGTTATCATACATAATAAATATATTGATTAACATAAAACAGTGTCATTTAGCAAAAACACTATTTTTGGATTGACGGTGCGTATCCTAGTTTCCTAATTTAATTGGTTGCATGGGATTTTCTGAATGGGTCAGACTTTTTATACTAGGATATAAAAGACATTGTTTCAATACACGTGTTAGTTTTAACATTGAATGTTGTTGTTTAACATATTTAATATTTAATCAAACCATATAGTTTTCTTTGATGCGGTAATATATAGGTGTCTGAATAGAGAAAAATATATTGGAAAAAACAGGGCAATGCTAGATTTTTAGCACAGTACCGTAATTCATCCTAATTGAGAAAGTAAAAACACGAATAAAAGGTAGCTGTTGCAAAAGGAAATCTTATTTCTGAGCTTTAATTATATTCCCCGACTTGATTACCCAAAAAAATAGTTTTACTTATAAATGCTAATATTATTGGTGCCAAAGGATGTTGAATTTGAATCCCCTGAGACAAAGAAACAAGCGCGTGGATCCACGTCATCAAAAAGGTCTCGTGCTGCAGAGGTCCATAACCTTTCAGAGAGGGTCAGTGTTCTATAACATTATAGTTCTGTTGATGAATTTGGTCTTCTCTTCTATAATTAAATTCCTTTAGAGGTGTAATGTGTCAACCATTTACAGAGACGCAGAGATAGGATAAATGAAAAGATGAGGGCTTTGCAAGAACTTATACCTCGTTGCAACAAGGTTTGTCACGTCTTATATTCCATTATATTTGCATTTACCATAGAGGATATGTTTTACCTGGTTGATTTGTCATTTGCTCTGCTGCTATTGACATATTTTCATGTTTCTGTGTCTCAGTCCGACAAAGCCTCGATGCTGGATGAAGCTATTGAGTACTTGAAGTCACTTCAGTTGCAAGTTCAGGTACTCTTTGCTTATAGTTACTGACATACATGAGAGATTATTTTGCTGTTTGCTCTTACAACTCTATGGCAAAAGTAGTACCAAAAAGTGACTTGGTTGGGTTATTGTCCTTTTGAGAAATATTGTTTTGTTTTTATAGCATGTTAGGATTAGACTTGATGCTAAAGCAATGGAAGTCCTTAATGAACAATCTTTCATATGTCTTATTTTGGATGTTTATGAAAATTTTGTTCGAATGTTTCATGATTAACTTCTACGGGAAAAGACGCGACTATTTGCAAATGGTTATGTTCGATGTGCCTCACTCTTCTACTCTTCATCTCACACTATTTTTAGACCATCTCCAGCGTATCACTAGAGTAGAGAAAATCTCTACTTTGGAGATGAATTTCAACTCCAGCCCATCTCCACTTTCAACGTTAGAGTAGAGAAAAGCTACAGTGATACTCTACATCTAGAGTTGCACTATAGATGCTCTACATATTATTTTTTTAAGTTATTTTTATGATTTTTGTTTTTTGTTTTTTTTACTTACTTTTGTTATTTTCTTTTTCTTTTCCTTTTCTTTTTTTACATTATTTTCTCTTATTCTATCTTTTATGTTTTTTTATTGTAATTTCTAAAAAATAAATAAATAAAAATTAAACATAATATAATAAATTCAAGTAGATTAAATTGCAAGATAGATAAAAATACATTGAAATTAGATAAATAAACATATTAATAGTTAAATATTTGTGAATAAAGTAGAGTTAGTGGTAATGTAGAGATAGTGTTGAAGATGAATTATTGTTTCATCTTTAGAGTAGAGATAGAGATGTTGTAGAGTAGAGATGAGGGCTGGAGATGACCTTAGTTAGCCACCCTCAGAACCAAGCAAGTGGATGGAGTATCTCCATGACTCCTTCTGTATAGGTTCCAATGTTCTTATGTTGTAGGTAACATGATTCATTAGACAACTTCTTCCTTAAGCCTGTACTTCCTTATACTTTATGACACAAAACATTTTACTAGATTTATGAAAGTTATTTTACCAATCAATAATGATCATATTTCTTCAATTCTAAAAATTATAAAGCTTATCCTAACCATAAAACTCGATTCTCGGTTCTCTTCCATTCTTGTAACTTTCCACATACTAGGGTATGATTTTTATGTTCTAATCGCATTTTATTTAATGAATTGTTTTCTTTTTTTGTTTGAAATCTAGTATAATGTTTTATGTCTTAAAGAATTACATTGCACATTATTTACTACAAACTTAATTTTGTTTTAAACATCTTGCAGATGATGTCCATGGGTTGTGGCATGGTTCCGATGATGTTTCCTGGTGTTCAGCAGTACATGCCAACAATGGGGATGGGGATGGGCATGGGCATGGATATAGGAAGGCCAATGATGCCATTTCCCAATGTTTTGGCTGGCTCACCTTTACCAACACCAGCCCCTGCTGCTCATTTGGGTCCAAGATTTCCAATGCCAGTCTTTCATATGGCACCACCTGCTCCACCTACCGATCCATCAAGAATCCAACCGAACAATCAGTCAGACACCATGTTAAATCCGCTTAGCATGCAAAACCCGTATCAGCAGCCTTGTGTCCCAAATTTTGCCGATCCTTATCAGCAGTATAATATTGGTCTTCACCCGATGCAATTACCCTCTCCACAGGTACTGTTAATTAGCATACCATTACCAATCTTTATACATATCATCCCCTGCTTTACAACTTCCTTTGCAAAATAGAAAATGAACAAAGCTCTTTAATCACACCAACTTAATAACATTGAAACATCACAATTGTTTACGAGAACAAAGTACAGATACAAATTTCACCTTTTACAGAATCAAACCATAGCTCAGCCAAGTTCTAGTAGACCAAGTACCAGCAAGGGAGCAGATAATCTTGAGAATCACCCATCAGGTAGGTACATTATTATCTAGCTTTCCATTATTAAAAGATGGTTGCTGACAAAAAATATGCATATGGGGATTGGGAATAAGAAGATAGTACATGTCATGGCCTCAATAACCATTTCGTATGATTAGGATCTACATGACCGCAATTAAAAGTTCGCCAACATTTTAACCATGGATGATATGATGAAGGTGACATGGGAAGATAGCACTAAAAAGTTTTACAAGTTATGGGCAGCATCAGCAACTCTGGGACCGCTGGCAGAATGTATTATCTGAAATGCAGTGGAGTGCTGGTTGCTTGTGTATTTCTTTTTGACTTGCCATAACATAAAAAAAAACATTGTTCCTGTGCATTGCAGGTTGACAATTCTACTTGGGATCACTCAGGGAAAGGTTCTTGCCTTCTCTAAAGTTTTGTTAGTGTAATAGAATCTCTTCTCGTCTCAGACCAACTTTTTCTGTTTTGAGCTAACAGAGCTAGAATGTAATTATTACACCACCATAGAAAATAGTAGTTCTTTACTTTCCGACTTTCGTATTTCGATTTATATTTGGCCAGACTATGAAAGAGGCTTAGATATCAGAATATAGTTGCAAAAGAAAGAAAAACAAAGCCTTCTTTGGCTGGTTTGCTGACAAATCGACCGATGGATTGCAAATACTGATATTCGAATTTGGGGCTTTCTGAGTCTCATAATGTAACACTGGCGGTGGCCGATGCACGCCAAGGGCGGGCAAGTGCTCACCATAAAATTATAATTTTTTTAGGATTAATTTTTTACTTTTTTTGATTGTGTCTATTATTTAGTATGAAAATTTATTCGTGTCACCCATACATAAATTTTGTGTGATTAATATATGTATGTACACTCTAAAAAGTATTTGTAGATATGTCACTGAATATTCATTATAATCTTTATCAATAGATCTAAATTCAATCCCGATTTACATATGTTGATATTCAAATTTGAAGGTTTTTTGACTCTCATAATATAATTTAACCATAGTATTTATCAAAAGAATCTAAACTAAACCCGACCTACAAATATCGATATTTGAATTTTAAACCTTTGGGAAGTTGATAATGTAAAATTCATTATAGTCTTCTTTATCAGCCTAACCTCCGCTTGTAAAATTGATGTCATTGTTATTCGTGGTGTCATCATTGCAAAGAGGTCTTAATCGATCAACTTATTGATAGAATTGGGGGTCCATTTTCAAATCGTATATTAGCTTCACTAGAGGAGAATTTTAAGCATGACAAAGGGGATATAAAGCAGAGGGTTTGAATTCTCTCCCCCCCCCCCCTTTTCACTTTGGGTTTCAACTTGTAAGCTGACTCTCTTCTTAACCCCAAAAAAGTGCAAAGGAGTGAATAGTCGTTTTTCTCTCTTTACTTTGTTTTCATATGTCGCATTCAACTTTCCTCCAATTCTCTCATGCTTGAAAAGGTGCATAAGAAATACTCGTTGTTTCCTTTTTGTTTCGGTCCTTTTTGAGCTCGACATCAATATTCCCCACTGTGGCCATCCCCACCCAACCTAGAAATGCTGACATTATCGCCATAGGTATAAGGTGGACCCTTTATCAAGATATGCTCAAAATAGTGTAGGTCATTATAGCAAGGGAGGATCCAAGATTCATCTCATATGTACGAATTTAAGAAGTTAAACTAAACTTTTAAATGGTGTAAAATATAAATTTTAAATATAAAATTAGATGATTAATAAAAAATATAAAAATTTACCAAAATGAATTTAAAATTTACGTTGATATCATATTCTATTGTCAATCCCTTAATCTAAAATCAATATTAATATTGGGACAATGAGTATGTTTTAAATACCCATAATAAAACAAAATCCTACTGATGGATTTGAAATTTAATTCGAGTTGATTTTCGCTGCTCGAAACATCTATAACTCTCTCTTTTTTCTCTCTCTCTTAAACCGTGAATTCTTTTCTTTTCTTTTTTATTTGAAAAAAAACCCACAGTTAACGATGACTGGAACTAAAGGGCAGGAGTATAGGAGTAGTGTGAACATGCGTGATACAGACAATGAAGGAAGAAGGAAAATGCAGTTTGGTCAACATTATATGGGAAGGACCACTCATTTGTCATACAGAGAACAAAGAGAGACAAAGAGAGGCATACATTCAGTTCACCTAATTGGTGAGGTTGCTCCATGTCTTGTTCTTATTATTACAATGATAGCCCCACCACCACCAACTTGCGTTTTCACATCCTTGTTTTGATGATAAACAGCGACCGTGGTAAGTTTCTATCGACCTTGAAGATTTTGATTGCATTCAAGAGTTAAATTTATATTTTATTTAAAATTAATATTCTATCTAAAGTTCAAAGATCAAATTAAAGATTAACTCATTTTGACCAACATGTGACATCATCATGTTAACAGTTCAGTGACCAAAATATAACAATTAAGTAATTAAAATTTAATAAATCAATAAGACTGAAATATAATTTTTTTCTATAAAAAAAAATTGATGAGAAAAAAATGTATAAATATGAAAGATAAATCATCAATTTGATATCTCAACAATGTGTGGATTTTGATCGAAACGAACAGATATTGGGCTAGGCCCAGTGGTGTAGTCCAACGTTGCGCATTAAACTGAATAACAACAGGCGTATTGGACCACATTGGATTGGGCCTGGACTCGGTCACGTTTGTTTTGATGTCCACATCTACCGAATTAGAACACTCTTTCCATACATGATTCCTTAGAGTCCTGGTACTCGTACTCAACCAACTATAATTAAAGTAAGGGTGCAAATAAATAAAATATTTGATAAATTATTAGTGAATTGTTTATATAATATTTTTAATTTCGTTTTCATTTATACCATTAATTCAATAGATACGGTTGATTGGAAGAGAAATTATCAGACCAAAGTTGAACGGTTAAGTAGTGACCAAAGATCATCCCTATCTCTTATGACACGGCTCTATTACAATCGCTCTCAAGATCCATTAATTTTTTCCATACTTCGACTAATTAACGTACAAATCCATTGGATGCTATCAGTTTTTTATGTAATAGAATCTCTCTTTAGTAATTCAACATCTTCTTCTTCAAAGAACTGCAACTTATTGTTTCATTCTAAATATTCTTATTTACTATCTTTTTTGAAAAATAATCTTTAATTTTTTTAACAGATCAGAAATCATATTATCCACATCTAAAGTATCATCTTCTTTAAATTTGACCTTTTTAATAATCCTTTACGACATCGATGCTCAGGATGGATCGAGAGGGGCGGGTAGGTGAGGCCAGCCACCCTCCTAAAGATTTAAAATTACCTTGTATTTTAGATTTTTTCTATGTATTTTCTATTTAACATTTGTTTTCGTCTTTCTTAAAATTTTATAAATTAAAGTTCGCCTCAATGAAATTTTATAAATTTAAATTTATCTCTGTCATAAAATCTCTCGTCCGTCCCCGTAAACAGTGGAGGTAAATCAATTTCCATATTACTCGTTGGAGAGATAATTATTTCATACACTTTATCAAAATATATAATTAAATTTGTAAATTTTAATATAGCTTTTATTTTGTTTGAATTGAAAAGTGAAAGCTACAAACTATTGCAACAAAGGAGCAGCAACGGAGTCTTGTTCCAACAGGGAGATCACTTCAGCTGGAGGGAGGGATAGGTAAATCAGCTCCAGGGAATGAGGCGTAGTAGTTATGGGAAGGTAGTCTGCTGGTTTATTGCATTCTCGAGGGGTCCAAACAACGTCTATAGCCCTAGCGCTACATCCAATAGCATCAATGATTCGAACTAGGGAGAGGGGGTTGCGACTCGCATTCGGATTATTCACTATGTCAACAGCTTCAGCACAATCGGATTGAATCTGAACCATTTCAAAACCTTCCTTTTGGGCACACTGGAAGACCAATGAGAATCGCCCAAAGTTCGACCTGAATTGTAGAAACTATCCCAATAGATTTCTGAAAGCTGGAGATCCAAGCACCTGTGTGATCCCGAAAAAAGCCACTAATTGAGCCTATACATGTGGTTGAAGAGATGGCAACATCGACATTCAAGCAAAGCCTTCCTGGGTTCGGTCTCATCCATTTGGTGGGTTGTTGAAGTGCAACAGGAGATATCGAAGGTACATGATAATACCTAGCCCAAGTAATCTCTTTGCTTAAGATGCCGGCAGCGGAGACTTTGGAGCTGTTGAAGACGTAATCATTCCTCGCCTTCCAGAGCTACCTGATTATTGACGAGAAAAGAGTTGGCCAAGGAAGTTTCTAGCTTGTAACAATAGCATCTGATAGGAAATAATCCCGAAACCATTCCTGCAAAGACATGTTAAAGAAAGAATGGAGCAGATTAAGTTGGAGAAAACGATGCCATACAACCCATGCCTCCTTACAATCACGCAGGATGTGAATCAAAGATTATTCAACTGAAGAACAGAATCTGCAAAAGGGGGAAGACCCTATAGATCGGCGGCACCTTTCCAAGTTAGTCATTAGGCGATTCCTATAAAATCAACAATTTAAAATTGACACTAAGACAAATAAAAGTCGGCATTTTTTATATGCTCAAATAAAGACCTAATATTTGAGGCACTTTTTCCTTTTAATTTATTTTTTATTAATTAATTAATGTCGAAACTATTTTTAATTTGACGATGATTTGTATTTGAAAATGTGCTTGTATTTTGAGAATGAAATTGACATCGGTTAATAGGTGTGATTGATAACTTATAAAATCAACTTTTGGAGTTTTGAGATTAAGGGACCGTTGAGTTGGAGTTTGAGAAAAATTTTATCATTAAGAAGTGAAGTTCGTGGGTTGTTTTTACCATTTCGAGGACAACGAAGGTCGAGGATATCTGGTCTGAACTTGGGAGGAATGAAGCCAGGGTCGTGTGGCACAAGTTGATTTGGTTCTCTATGCATGTCCCTAAGCGTATTATGTGTTGATGCTAAAGAGTCCAGAGATCACATTTTCTTTGAGTACGTGTTCTTTGTGAAGAGTCCAAGATAGGTTGGTGCTCTCACGGGAGGATGAGTTGGATTGAGTTATTTTATGACTCAAAGGTAAATCGCTTAATGTTATGTTGCTTAAATAATCATAATAATAATAATTTTATTTTTTATAACCTCCGATATCTGATCTATTAATGCTCGACTAATTCGGATTGGGTACTGGCAGAGACAAAGACGACCCTCTCAACCCGGTTTACTCAATTCGCAATCGCAAGAATTCGAACCCCTAACTTTACTTAAAGGATCTAGTGTCTTATTTCCCTAAAAAAGATGTCGAAACTAAGTAAATTCCAGACATGTCGTGGATTCTCCTCTTCTTAGGTGAGATGTAAATACCTCTTATTCATGTGTTGTTTTGGTTTAGATTATGTTCTTCATTTTTCCTTATTTCTTTTTCTTATTTTCTCAACCTAAATTTCGAACATGTCCAAATCTTTCTTGTGATTAGCACTTGGTTAATAAGGGTATAACTAAGTATGTTTGCAGGGGCTCCGCTCTAAATGGAAATCTTGTAATTTTATTCCCTTTGAAATTCTACCTAATTAATGGTAAAAATGTGTATTGGTCCCCGAAGAATAATGAAATTTGCATGCTACTGCTATATTCATTAGAATAACTTGATCGATGATCTATTTTTCTACGTGGTTTCACTGCACAACAAACAGAACAGTCCATGTGGAACAACTTTTGGCCTGCCATTAAAAAGATCTGTGACTCTCTCTATATCTATAAGGATTGACCGTAGAGAATAACGGATACGGTTATCTTCATAAAAATTTTAAAAAAATCATATAATTTAAATATTTTTTATATTTTTATTCCTCTACAATTTTAGTATAAGTTTAGCATCACATAAAATTTTATAAACTCTTTTCCAACGTAAAATCATTCGTCTAATGTATTCAAATAAACCCTAAATTGAATGAAAACCTAACATATTCAACCGTAACTCTGCAATAAGTTAAAGTCATATTCGGTATTGCCAGCTTCGGCCAGTGATTTAACTCCCTCATTTAATTCCTTTTTTTTTTGGTGTCAGAGACCCCTTAGTAAATAGGGTTTCAGGTTTTTCCTGCCGACTCAGCTACCATTAGGTAAACTCCATTAATGAGTTTATTTACTGAGGCCATTGAAATCTGTCACGCATGGCATGGCCCCTTCTTCCTGGTGCAACCCACAGCTTTTACTAGGCATGGATGATGGACCACCAAGCACCCGGTTTGCTTATACTTGCCTTGTTGGTTTGCTGTATAGTTTTATTTGGGTGAGAAATAGTTTTTTTTTTGGTTGGATAAATAGTTATAACCCAAAACTACTCCACTGATTGTATTCATGAGTTTGTGTTCTACTTGTTTAGCAATGCATGGCCAATTATGGTATATGCATGAGTTATAATCAATTTTATAATCTACAAGTCCCTAAAATAATTATATTATAAGCATGACCAGACAAAAGAAATAAACATTTTTCACTAAGATTTGGATATTTATAAAATAATCCTTAAACATTTTAAAATTATAGTTAATCCCTAAGTGACACTTCATTTCTAAATTGTTAATAAAGATGTTTATAACCTATTACTATAGTTTAAGTTAAGATAAATTTTACTTGAACCGAGAAAACATTTGTTATAGCATGTGTAATTATAAAGTCCATGTACTTTGAATAAACTACTTGTTGGTTCATCAACTTGCATATGGTGTATGCTTGAAAGAATATAAGATATACAACTACATGAAATCATCATATTTCACACGCACCCTGATGGAAAGTAGTAGCACTGGTATAAGGGGGAAAGATGAGCACTTTTTCTTGGTGGTCCAAACTTATAAATTTTTGTCATGAGTCTATTTTTTTCATTGGTACCATAATTCCAACAGAATAATTAACTAACAATTAGATAGTAAGAGTCTACGGCGCACGTCACGTCACATAACGTACCATTAAAGTGACGTATCAAAACACACTATTAAAGTGACATATCGAAACTCACCACAAGCAAATTTGTTCTTATTATGTAAATATTAAAAAAATATATAGATTTATTTAAAATTAATCATTAATTAAAATTTAATTTTAGTTTTAATAGAATTATAATTAATTTATAATTGTTTATCAAAAATAATAATTAATTTAAGTAATTTATCTGTTTGGAATTAGGATTTGTAAATTATTTAAGTTAGGTCACTGTCGAAGACATTAACTCGCCGGAAAACTCGTCGGAAAATTCTCTAAAAAAATATTATATTATAAATCCAACGCTGTCGTTTGTCGTCGCTCGGTTCGTCGTCACCCACAGTCGGTCGTCGACCATGAAAAACTCTGCATAAAGGTTAGCCGGCGCCCCTATGTGTTTCAATTGATTTGCACAAAGAATGTGGGTTCTAATTTTTAATGGTAAAATTACATTTCAACCCCTTCTATTTGTGTTTTATTTAGAATGGTTAAATTTCATGAAAACCCCCCATATTTTCTCATGTGTGTATTTTAGACAAACGATGTTTTTGTTTTAATAGACATGAAAAAATTACAATACCGCATACTTTTGCTTTAATTTAAATGGTCAAATTGCATGTAAACCCCCCTCACTTTTCCATGTTTAGATTTTACACTTCTAGGTTTTAGATCTTTTATAATTTGTACTTTATTTTTATTTTGATAATTAATTTAGAATTTACTTTTTTGATTTTCATTAACAATTAATATTTTATTTTATTCATTATTTTTATTAGCACTAATTTCATATTATTTCATATTATTTGTTATCATTAATCTTAACAATTTGATACTTAATTTTACTTGATATTAATTGTGACTATTTGAATCAAGATAATATTAACTTGCTAATTCGAATTATTCTAAATCATATGCTTTTAGTCATTTCTTATTGTTTAAATAGAAATGTCATAACATCAATGTACAAGTACCTGTTCGAGTTGAACTTTTAATTCAAGAAATGAAATAAATATATAACAATCATAACTTAGAAATGTATTGTAAATCTTCGAATAAACCCATAAAAGCAATAAATAAAAGTTCAAATTTATTAAATTGATATGAATAATTAATATTAATAGCAAGTCAAACTTACGGATCAAAACTAATATTAAAACAAAAGCAATGATAAAAATGAATATCAATTTAATATTAAAATTAATGATCAATATTAAAATTTACGTATCAAAATTAATATTATCATGGTTCAAATAATCACAATAATATCAAGTAAAATTAAGTGTCAAATTGTTAAGATTAATGGCAACAAATAATATGAAATTGATGCTAATGAAAAATAATGAATAAAATAAAGTATTAATTATTAATTAAAATCAAAGAGTAAATTTGAAATTAATTATCAAAATAAAAATAAAGTACAAATTATAAAATATTTAAAACCTAGAAGTGCAAAATCTAAATAGGGAAAAGTGAGGGGGTTTACATGCCATTTGACCATTTAAATTGTATGGGGGTATTGTAATTTTTCCATGTCTATTAAAACAAAAAACATCGTTTGTGTAAAATATAAATATGAGAAACTATGGGGGGTTTTCATCGAATTTAAGTATTCTAAATAAAACACAAATAGAGGGGGTTGGAATGTAGTTTTACCATTCAAAATTAACTTCGTTCAAATCAATTGAAACACACGGGGGCACCGGCGCAAATCAATTGAAACACAGAGGAGCGCCGGCTAACCTTTATGCAGAGCTTTTTATGGGCAATGGCCGACTGTGGGTGACTGTTGGGTGACAACGAACCGAACGACAACAAACGACAACATTGGATTTAAATATAATATTTTTTGGAGAATTTTTCGACGAATTTTCCGACAAATTAAGGAATCCGATGATGACCTAACTTAAATAATTTACAAATCCTAATTCTAAACAAATAAAATACTTAAATTAATTATTATTTTAATAAAATAATTATAATTCTATTACAAATAAAATAAAATAAAATTTTAATTAATAATTAATTTTAAAAAAATTCTTATACTTTCTAATATTTATCTAATAAAAATAAATTTACTTATAATATGTTTTAATATATCGCTTTAATGATATATTATAATATGCAACCTGCGTTGTAGAATTTTCCATACGTACAATATCAATGCATTAAAACAGTTTTATTGAAAGAAGGGGTCAAAAGGGAAAATAGGAGAGGCATGAATCTTTGTAAGGGAACTGAAACGTGGCATGGACGTATACAAGGCAGCGGGAATGGGGAATGTCTTGGGGACCAAACAAAGAAAAGCAAAAGTAATAGCAATCGTTATTATGGACCATTAGAGCTTATTTAGGCATATAATTCGGACCCCACGAATCCACAATTACTCCCTGCTTTAATTTCAAAGCTTAGTTTTAGCAATCTCTGGTTTTTGTTCTCCAGATCACAGGCTAGCTTTAGCATTTATTAACAATATCTCTCTACTTTATTTTCTAAATTAGGTCACCGTATGATATCCAGTAATAGGATCTCCTGGGGTGTTGTAGGACGGCGTATTTTTAGATATAAACAATTAAATATGTCGACTTAAGTGAGCTTACAATTAACATTACCATTTACTTATTAACCCAATAATCCGTATGGAACTAAAGCTAAAGATATTAAGTAGGCATAATTAATGAAAGCAGAAACTCCTATTATTTCCGATTATATACATGTATATGTGTATGTGAAGTTAGGAACTTTAGTCACAAATTAAGACATACTTCCCTTGATAAAAAATTGACAAACATATTAAATGAGAAGAAAAATATATTTTTAAGGTGAACACGTATACATTAGTTAAATAATTTTTTATAGAAATAGATACAAATAAATTTTCGGGACGTATATATATGAAGAAAGAATTGATGTATGTTACTATTAGTTACGTATAGGCTCTACAGAACAGAAGATATAAATTATTTACGTAAAATATTTATTGCAAAAGCATAACAACGTTGAACTTAGAAGTGAAATGAAGGAAAAACATAACTAGACAAAACAAAACAAAACAAAGACGATTTCTGAGTTCTCACGCAGAATAAACACGTAACTACACCATTTTAAAATAGTTTAAGCTACTTTTATGGTAAATATTTAAGCCCCTTAACATCTTTCAAGGAAAAGGAAGGACACCAGTGCCAACACCACCACCAGCTCCAGCTCCACCGCCAATAGCACCTCCAACTCCAGCACCACCGCCACCCAAGCCGCCAAATCCCCCTCCACCAAGCCCACCGAGTCCACCGGCTCCACCAAGGGGAGTAATCCCACCAATTCCACCTCCGAGTCCACCTGCACCACCGAGGGGAGTAACCCCACCAAGCCCCCCCACCCCGCCAAATGGTAATCCATTAGAGCCAATACCGGAATAGCCTCCTACGCCACCGTAAGTGAGGAAGTTCTTTTGGTCGTTAACGCCAGCAGCACTCAGTTTACTAATAGGCGCGGTGCTTGTAGGTACAGCTGTAGTTGCGGGCACATTTCTTGCACCAGCGTGAACCACAACTAGGGCAAGAACAAGCATAACAATCCACTTCGCCATATCTCTAAATCAAGCAAACAAACAAGAACCCTATATCAGTGTCTTTTTTTCTCACTATCTCAGTGTCTTAAGGGTATCTCGAAGATCTCCTTTTAAAGGAGGCATAAAAGATGGCGTGGTCAAGGGACAGTTGTGAGTATTAAATGGTGTTTAAATGCAGAAACAGGGTTTTGATGTTTCTATATATATTTATAATTTTTTATAAATCTGGATAAATATAAGATATTATATGTTTAAAGACGGTCAATTGACAATAAGTCTCGTACCTTTACCAATGCTTGAACTCATAACATCTATAGAGAATAACGAATCCCTTGACTGTCGAGGTTAATCAATTCATGCTAAACTTGTTATATATATAACTTCACCCTTGTATCATATTTAACACAATATTATTTTGTAATTATAATTTTTTTTAAAATCCATATTTAAGAATTTAAAGAGTGATTTAGTAATAAATAGAGTATTATTTTCTCTTAAGTGACTTGAGTCCGAATAATTTTATCTGTATCTATATATAATTTTATCTAAATTTAAATTGAATATAATATTATCTTATAATTATATTAGAACAATAAAGAATTTTTTATATAGTAGAAATTTACTAATTTATAAAGGTGTTTCAAAACATATAAATAGTTTCAGTAGATTTTAATTTAAATAACTTCACTTCCCATCTCTTAGATTTCAAAGTGTCTAATCCAAATTACATTTTCGCTTTTCATTTTTTGCTATTGGTTGCATTATTCATTCTATTATAAAAAAATACGTGCCCAAAGGGAATCGATTACAAACCTTATTATGAATTTCAAATGTTTTTCGTAAAATATTAAACATTTTTCTGAAAAACGTTTTACGATATTTGGAAGATGTTGTTTAAATATTTTTTCCACTCGTTGATGATTTTTTTTTAAAATTATTTATTACAAATATTAAATATAATAAATAATATTCTTTATCATAAAACTTAATATTACTATTTTTAAAATATTAAAATAACTTTTTATTATTATAATATTATTTTTATAATTTTATTAATAAAAATATTAATATTGGTAAATATAAAAATTATATTAATTATTTATTAAAGTAATAGTGTTATATTATATTTTAAAAATATTAATTAGTATATTTTAAATATCTTTTTAAAATATTATTAGATCATTATATTAATATTAAATGTATAATTAATATTATTCATTACTATAATTTAATAATATTATTTCTATGAAATTAATAAATAATATAAATTTATTAATAATTTATTATATATTATTAAAATAAAATATAATATCTTATATTATATAATATAATTTATTATTTTATTATAATATTAAAATATAATATAATATTATTAAATTAATAAATATATTTTAAATATTTTAACAATTAATATTTTGATTAAAATGATATTAAAATATTTTATTAATATTAAATTCATAAAATAAAATTATTTTGAGTATTTATTCTTTGAAATGAAAAGTTCGAAAAATGACTTTCGGAAAATAAGCTCGTAAGTCATTTTACAGAAAACACAAAAAAAAATTCTATTGACCAGTAAAATATTTTACGTTGACTGACCAGTTTTCCTCCAACCAAATATTGGAAAATGAGGAAAACATATTTTGGAAAATGTTTTACGTGAAACAAACGGACCCTAAGTTTAGATGTTTCCTAATTGAGTTTAATTTCTTTTTGTTAAGTTATTTCATTTATCAAAGGGCACGACGAGCACAAAATTGTTATGACAACTTAAAAAAATCTTAAAATTGCTCCTATTCAAGATAATCGTATGATTTTATGTCAATAGTGAACTTATAAAATTTTAAAAACAAAGATAAATTATCAATAAAAAAAATCTAACTTATATGATAATTTAAAATCTTTCGGAGGATGATTGTCCTTACCAACTAGGGAGTGACCAAAGGGTGACGAGTGGAAGCAACCGTCCCATAAAAATTTAAAATTATCATATATTTTATATATGTATTTTTATATTTTTATTAATAAAATATTTTTGTCCCTTTAAAATTTTATAAGTTTATTTCCTAACATAAAATTTTATGTTCGTCTCTACCATCATACGTCAGCCACTTCGATCCATCATGCTCCTGTATACGATCAAGTAAACCTCTAATTATACACAACTTTACATTAACTAATTCGAACTTGTTAATATTGCCTACGTATTAAGCTTGTTCTAATCTTATGGGCAAATTGCTTTTATTAAGCTTGACGCAATGCACAACGAGGTTAATCATTCAAATATTGGCGTTGAGTTGTTGTAATAATGTGACAGGATGCTTTTATTGATATGGAACCATAAAATAAGTGAGACATTTACCGATAGGTACATAATAGATCGCACGTTATTCACACGATAATAATAGAAATCTATCTCTAAAAGTATTTTTTTCCCTAATTTTTGATTTTGTAAAGTAAATTCCTAACAATATATCTAACACAGGACAACATCACTCTAACTTCTTCCCATATGCATGTGTGTCGTTAATTAATTAGTTTATGCATGATTTATATAATATAATATATCGCTAATGAACTCATTAAATGATCTTAACAACAAAAAGATGTTCTCTCTAGAAGATTTGGGTCTGAACACTTATATTTACAGAGTATGTTGTTGCGGAAGACGGCTATTGGATAGAACAAAATCGCAACTGATAATTTGAGAAAATAAAAATGAAGATAAAAGAGACACAAAATTTACGTGGAAAATCCTAAAAATTTAGGATAAAAACCACGGACAGCGGTAGAAGAATTTCACTATGAGAAAATAGGAATTACAACCTCTCTCGATCTACCAAGGAGAAAACAATGATAATTCTCTCTAGATAAAAAAGAAAACAACTCTCAAGAAACTCTCTAAAATCTCTCTAGTATTGGAAGAAAGCTAGAATGCTTTGGGATGGTTTTGAAGCTAAATGAGCTAGGGTATTTATAGTTAAAGCTTAAGGACTAATCTTGTAAATACCCTAAAGTCTAATGACTAAAATTAATTTTTCCATTCCATTTTTTTTCAACATTTTAGGTGAATTATTATTTCTAATTTCAAATCACCTTTCGGTGGAAAATTAGGCCACCAATTTTGGCCACTTGTCTTGACTTTTCAACAATCTCCCACTTGAAGATTTGATTGGAACAATCATATCTTCACACCATTCTTTTACCTTGTACCATCATGTTGCTTACGTTTATGACAGGCCACAGGAGGATCGACACCAAGTAAATTTATCAGTATTGATCGCCTTCGTCATGAAATCTGCTATGTTGTCTTTGGTATGGATCTTCTGCATATCTATCGTCATTTCTTCCACCTTTTCACGAATGAAATGGTATTGAACTCGTATGTGTTTTGTCCTTGAATGAAATGCTGGATTCCTTGCTAGATGCAAGGCGCTTTGACTGTCACAAATAAAGAGACATACTCTTGATTGTGCTCAAGCTCCTCCAACAGCATCTTCAACCAAATTGCTTCTTTACTGGCTTGTAGCTGCTACATATTCTGCCTCTGTTGTGGACGTAGCCACAACTGACTGCAATTTTGAAACCCAGCTTACAGCTCCACCAGCAACTTTGAACACATATCCTGTAGTAGATTTGCTTTTATCCAAATCCCATGCATAGTCAGAATCTACATACCCATTGATTAGTAAGTTTGATCCTCCGTAACATAATGCAATATTTGAGGTCCCTTTGATGTATCTTAGGATCCTCTTTACAATATTCCAATGCTCTTTGCCTGGATTCGCTATGTACCGACTAACCACTCCCACTGCTTGTGCAATGTCTGGTCTTGTGCATATCATAGCGAATATTAAACTTCCCATTGCTGATGCATACGGTACTCGAGACATCTCCATCCTCTCTTATTCACTGCTAGGACTCATACTGGAGGATAATTTGAAGTTAATAGGAAGAGGGGTAGAAATTGACTTACAATCTTGCATGCTAAATCGTGACAAGATTTTCTTCAAGTAATTCTTTTGTGAAAGCCAAATCTTCCTATTGGTTCTGTCTCGGTGAATTTGCATCCCTAGAATCTTGTTTGTTGATCCCAAGTCCTTCATTTCAAATTCCCTAGCCAGTTTTGCCTTCAATTCTTCAATATGATCTTTGTTGGGTCCTGCAACCAACATGTTATCCACATACAACAATATAACAAAATCGTTATCACCAGACCTCTTGAAATAAGCACAAGGGTCTGCATTAAGTCTGTTGTATCCAAGGCACATAATGAATGAATCAAATCTCTTATACCAACACCTCGGCGCCTGCTTTAGACCGTACAGAGATTTGTTCAACCTACAAACCAAGTTCTTCTTTTCGTCTTCTTCAAAACCTTCAGGTTGGAGTATATAAATCTCTTCTTCAAGATTTCCATGAAGAAAAGCTGTTTTAACATCTAGCTGCTCTAGATGTAAGTCCAATGTAGCACACATTGCCAAAACTACTCGAACTGTTGTTAGTCGAACCACAGGAGAAAATATTTCATTAAAATCAATACCTTCTTTTTGAGCATATCCTTTGACCACCAGTCTTGCACGATACCTCTCAACTTGATCGTCACCATTTCGCTTGATTTTGAAGACCCATTTGTTACCAATTGTCTTCCTTCCTTGTGGTAGTGGCACAAGGTCCCATGTATTATTTTTATTAAGGGCTTCGATTTCTTCTTGCATCGCCATCATCCACAGTGAAGCATCTGAGCTGTTTATTGCCTCCTGGTATGTTGATGGCTCACCGTCCTCTGTTAAAAGGCAGTATGCAATATTACCTTCTATAACATAATCTGAGTGCCAATTGGGACGTCTTCTCACACGATCTGATTGACGAGTTGTTGGAGCTTCAGAACTCTCTGGTTCTTGTTCATCATGTGCTGGTTCTGCTTCAGAAGAATCTCCTTGTTCAACCTCCTTTTCCACATGTATCTGAGTAGTCTCTGACTTTTCAGTGCTATCATCGTCTTCTTTTCTTTGTAGTTTATCCTCTACAAAGATAACATCCATGCTGATGATCACTTTGCGGGCAGTGGGATCCCACAA